TTTTTTTTTTTTGAAGACGATGAAAACCAGAAAACAGAGCACACCGAAGACGCAAAAAACAATCAAATGTACTGTACTAATAAGGCAAAGAATAAGCCAACCAGAATCACAGGCGTAATTCTGATACAGCAAAAAAGCACATGTCTATTTTGAGCAGTTGCACTTCAAATCGTGACAAATAGTTAACCGAATAAACATATTTACCACAAAAAATACTCAGGATTACAGATGCCAAAAACATTCGAGCACAAGAACTGAACAATTTAGGTCTTTTTTAGAATGCAGTTTGCATTAACGAAATCACTGTTTCCAAAAAGGACTATTGTTAATAGTTTGAAACAGAATTTGACAGCAGTGTAGAAGAGTGTTTAAATTTAATAAATGTTACCTATATTATTCTACCGTGTTTAGTATCGCATATTAGATGTCATACAGGTATTAATAAAACGCAACAAATAGTACTTGTTCTGCACTTTTCTCTTCAGCACGCATACTTTGCATCGTTTTCGAGAAGAGTATTTTCAAACGTAGAATTAATGTTACTGATCTTAATTATGATATAATCCTAAATCAATTGGTAATCGCGCAAGATCGTTATATAATTCACTGGTTGTATAATTGACAGTAGTTAAGACCAATAAAAGCACCACGTTTACAGTTATTGCAACAAATTTTTAATTTATATGCTGCGACTGCTACACTCTCTGTCTTACTGCAGTCGGTTTGCAAAGAGAGTAAAAAAAATTATATTTTCATAAAAGAATTTTTTAACAATTAAAATTTTTTAAATGCTTTATACACAAATTCATAATAAATCAATTTAGCCGAACAGAACTGCAGAGTGGGATTTATGGAATACAGAGACAAGTGCTACTTTTATGTAATCTTTTCAAAGATCTTTTTATTCCTGCTTTTTTCACATTACAGAAATAAACTCAACAAAAATCTTTGTCATTTTTTTTATAAAAAAGTATATTTTTAAAAATAGATAAAAAAAGAAAATGTTTTAGGAATTACTAAGATAAAATCTGCTTAAACTTTTATGCTTTTTTATCTGATAAATTTATAATGGTTTTTCACTTTCTGGTTTATAAATCTACTTTAATAGTCAAAGTACAGTCTTTGCAATAATAAAACAAAAAATTTAAAATACTCTGAGTCACCATGTGCTATCAAAATGAATAAGTAAAATTAAAAATTTAAAAAGCATAGTATATAAAACTTTTAAACTTTAAGCAATATTTTTCTAATTTCTAAGTTAAAAACACAGACACATACGGAGAGGGACAATTACGATAATACAATGCTCACAAGCAATATTTTGTTGATACTAGAAGAAAGAGAACAATTAGAAAAAAAATAAAGGTTTTGTAGAAAAACAAAACAACGAATCTAGATGAAGCAATGAAGATTTGCCTTTCAAGAAGAGCCGGCCTAGTATGGATTGAATCAAAAGATGAAGAAAAGTTCTTGCTGAGTGAGTAATTCCTTCCCTCTTTCTTCTTCTATTTTTGGTTTACGTAATCGTAAAGAAGATCTCAACATGTTTCGATTCTACACATTTTTCTCATAACGCTTATCTCCTCAACTAACAGACAGAAAACAGAGAGGTCCTTATTGAATGCTCTTTCAAAAAAATCAATTTGTGACTTTACTGTATTCTATAAGCTTGTTCTAACATAACACAAATAAATAAACAAATTGCACAAAACAGCCATGTTTTAAAAATGATACTTTTATTCAAAATAAACTTTTTTCAAAGCTTCAAAGATAAACCTTTGTTAGAAGAAACCAGTATTGTAAAAACCACGTAGAAAAGTGTAAATTTTACGTCTCAGAGCTTTTATTTTATTATTCTTACTTGTTCTATTTCCTCGTTTTTCTTCATCTGCATTTCAAATTGCTCAGCACTGTAAGAACATGTAACTCAAATATACATTTAAAAAGTACAGAAGAACACTCATGCTAAGCAAATCTAACTTTTTAAAGAACAAACCTTAATTCCAATAGAATTTGCCTAAATACAAAACCACTGCAACAGAAACATAGTGTATGTTGCAAACGAGTTTTGTACGAGACAGAGACTTTTGAGCGTAATATCTTGAATACATTTTTTTTTTTAAAGCTAGTATTTTAAATGCTAGTAAAAAGCACTTTTCCACAATTGTGATTTTCACAGAACACATTACCAGTAAGCCATATTGGTTGGGTTTAAATTACTGGAATAAAGCATGGCACTCACACGAGAAGTCACTTCCACAATACACCAACTGGGCGAAGAAACAGATGAATGGAAAAGCTACGTTTGCAATTAGTGGAAAAACTGGGTGGCGGTACAGCTATAAGACAGGAAAGGCTACCGTGCTTTGCAAATACAGAAGTCAGTTCCTCTACTTCGTAGACTAAAAAAGTTTATTAGTCACAGAAGATAAAGTACTTTAACTGTTACTCGGTTTTATAACTACTAATAATTTCAGAGCATGTTAAAGAAGATTTTTATCAATTTTATATCAGATTTCTGAAAAAAAAAGCTGGAAAAGTAACAGAAACAACAGTGCCACCGACAGCAATAACAACTACAGTTTCCGCAATTAAAACAGTAAATCTTTCTAACTTTTGATTGTTAGAAACTTAAGAGTTATTAATTTATAAATTTTTTCTTTGAATCACTATAAATTTATTATTAATAATTTTGCTTGAAGTTACGTCAACGCTTTTTCTATTTAATTTTAGCAAATTTTTTAAACCAAAAAACGTAATAAAAGTCAAAAGCTCTGCATTTTGACAGACATCTTATCATTTGAAAACAATATCACTTATAATTTTGTAAATAAACACTGTCAGACACTTATGCTAAAAGTTGCTATAAGTTTTTATTAGTTGTATAACCATGCTCGTAAATAGAAAAAAGACTAAAGTTGTAAATATGAGGTATAAATTCTGAGAATATTAGTGTGTTTGTTGTTACAAATAAAATTCTAGCATTTTAAAGAGTCATACTTTATAAATATGAGAACCTTTACATATTTTTCATTTTCAAACGCACAGATAGTCACAGAGAAAGTGTAGGTTATTTCAGTTGAACTGCTTAGAAGAAATAAGGCAGTCATTAAAAAAAGCATAAAATTTTTAAATTTTTATCTGCTGAATTGGAATACTGTTGTCAGTTTTCATATAAAGAGTTCACTTTAACACTGAGCAGCGTCAAAAAAAACAGAAGATTAATTTAAAAAAGCAGATAAGCTTGTAATTTTAATAATTATAAAATCAACAATTTTTAAAACAGCGAAAAGAAAAGTTATAAATTAACAAAGGTATACAAAAATTATCTGTCTTTTTAAATTTAACTATTTATCACTTATGTCTATTTAAGTGCAGAACTACAAAAAAGCAAATTTTTCTTTATATTTTATCTCTAACTTTTTTGCGACCAGTTTTTCTTCCGCATTTGTTATCTATTACTAATTCTTCTTTAAAAACTAGTGATAAAAAGGTAGAAAATTTCTAGTGATAAAGCAAGCCGCTGGTTCATCTTATCACTATTTTTTTATAGCAGACTTTTTTAGACAACTCAACTACTGATAGATGTACCGATAGTGACTTTAGGTAAGTTTGCCAACAATAGATAAATAAACAAAACATGAAGACCTAGTTGCTGGAACGTTTAATGACGTGATTATGATAGATAACACGACTTTCTCGCAGAATTTCTCGACTATTTTTTTGCAACTCTAACATTGCAACGCCAAAGGTTTACAAGCAGTAAAATTTGTACTACTGATAAATAAAAATAAAAAAGGATTTGTAAAAAAACTGTTTTACTTACTCAAAAAAAGTATGCTTTTCACATTGGCTACGCTAAGTAAAATTTTATATAAGACAATATAAAATCATAACTCAATTTCAGCAGTAATCTTTGCTTTCATCATTGTCGTTTGCACGTGTACAATTTTCTGGGCAAGAATTTGCACATGCTTTAACCCAAAACAGTACCCGTTGTACCAACTGCCTCAAAACTATGTCCCTTACGACTACCCAGGAAAAATCGACAAATTTATGAATATAAAGAAAGGAGATAAAGATATGAATTATGCAGAAATTATGTAACACCTGTGGTACACCTACCTATTCTGAATGCGTTTAAAACCACATTTATTGTTAAGAACATTCAAAAAAGTTTGTATTTTGCTTAAAGTGGTGTAATTTAACATCTACTTTAGTATAGTTGCAAAGCAAATGTGCAGTATGACCTTTCCGAATAATTCCCTAACATCTTTTTTACATTTATATAATTATGAATCATGACACGCATTTTGTTTTTCTTTTGAAATTACCATATTTTCTTAAATGTCATAAATTGCACTGTACAACTGTGCAATTGTTTAAAAGTAATCTAA